CTATATATACGTGCGTCATGTAGGAAGTTGTTACACTCTGGAGATGTCAGATGACACAATACACCATCATGCCGACGGGCATAGGCGACACTCTAGTTTTGTCGTTACATGGCGACCCTGGCTAATGAATCCTGCAAAATCTTCTCGAAGTTAGTCTTTGTCAACAACTATAATATTATGAAGGTGATTCAACAAGTCAATCAAAGCTAAACGGCTATCAACTGCTGTGAAGTGTGTGAAGCAGCAAGTATGAATTTAATTAATATAATGATGAACCTCCTCAACGGTATGAACGGCGGCGGCCTCCGGTGGACAAACGTTGGCAAGAATTTTTATGAAAAACAGAAATAATTATATGAACAAAAGAACTTGAAAATCAAATATTTGAAAAGCTGCGAGAACGACCCAGCCGACCGAACAGTCGAGTCATCCGTGAGAAGAATGACATGGAAGTGGTACACTTCTACTGCGTGGCGACTCATTATATTAACAAAAGTTATATACCTGCTATATAATACATGAAATCAGCAAAATTTAGTTGTTAACCATATCTGGAACGCAATTGAAAACATACATTATTCGCCTCAACAACAACGAAAAAGAAAAAAAAACAAATTGGGGTAGATGACACTGAATTTTAATCGCACAATTGCCGCAAGCAATATCATTTCATTTATCATCAATACATCATCTGCAAATCATCCATCTGATTATCAATTATCTTATATACCCAACGATCCATGAATATCAGATATTATAGATAAACAAAAACAAACGGTAAAAGAAAAGATTATCTTTGAACTGACAAAAGTGATGAAACGTGTGAAAAAGTTAATTTTTTTATCCATTGCCCAGAAGGTGCATTAATTTTTCTATTCTTTCGTACCGAGTTGATGCGCTATAGTTGATTAAGTTAAATAAGAAATGTGATAATTTTTTGTGAGAAATGTCTAAAAAATTGAATTTTATGATATTATGTTGATTTATATAACTCTTTAATGTGTTCCTTGATTATCGCTGTGATATTCAGCTGTTTGTTATTAATAATTTTTTTTTAATGTGGCGTGTTAAGATACTCTGAATAAGGAATGAAAAAAAGAAACTCTTTTCGGCATTATGTATGTACTATGCTTAAGTATCTATCTGTAGCTGTTATTTGTGTTTTTAAGTTTCTAAAAAAAAGAAAAGAAAAAACAACAGTTCAAGCGATTGTAATAGTGTCAATAATTGATGTCGTTTCTATCCGACTTTGTATTGCGTGATAATGTTCAAAATTATCAATTTTTGATGTGTTCTGTTACGGTATTGTTTTATTGCAGTGTTTTTTTTTATATTGTAAAGACGCTCAGGAGCGCGTCTGATCTGAGTGGGAGGGTGTGCCGATATTGATGGCACGCTTCGATGATTCTCCTTCCTTCTCTTTCTGTTCTCTTTCCATTGTTCTAATGTATCTCTCTCCTATATATACGTGCGTCATGTATGAAGTTGTTACACTCTAGAGATGCCAGATGACACAGTACACCATCATGCCGACGGGCATAGGCGACACTCTCTAGTTTTGTCGTTACACTCTGGATAACTTGAAGTAGCCTAATAAACATCTTTGCCGAGAGTGGCACAAGCTACTCTAATCAAGTTGTTCGTTACAATTACATTTAAGATTTCTAATCAAGTGTTAAAAGTTTCAAAAAAAATAATGCATAATGAACAATTACAAGAGAATTTATTTTATTTGCTGAATATGGCAAATGATGACCAATATATATAAAATAAACTACATGATATACTCGAATGAGAAGAGACTAGTCTCAGTATAATAACATATTTTCCCTCAATTGTAATTAGGTATTATTTATTATTCTTCTTGAAGGACAAAATGGTAAAAAATGATGCGTACAATCGAATAATGAAAATATACAGGACAAATTATTAATGCTTGCTACTGATTGAGGAGGCACGCAATTTGAGCTCCACTCAGCAGTCATCAAATGTTTAATTTTAAATAGTTAATCGATTTTGCGGTGAAATATTACCTAAAAATCAGATGAGTACTTGCTTTGTCTTTGCTTGTCATTATTGTAATCGTTATATAATCAATGTTATTAATTATAGAAAACAGCTACTCCGCCATCGTGTATATATCTGTTATACAAAAAATAAGAAACGAAATGTTCAAAAATAGTACACTAATGCTAAGGATAGAGTTATAAGTAAAATGCTATCGCATGACGGAATTTCAATGATTACGCTATCAATGAAAAAGAGAATTTCATATAATTTTACTTCCGACATTCTTTCACTCCTAATGAATGTCTCTCTTCGTTCATGATGAAGGCGAATATTATCGTTGATGATTGTAATTTATACGAAGGAAATATTTTAGTTTAAAAAAGGATTTCGATCAAATAAAACAATACAGCCAAGAAAAAAGTCCATAAGTGATATAATGAGAGAAAACAACAAGTTATAATTTATAATTATCAGAAAATTATTTGTTTTATGATTGAATATGTGTATAGTTGATCAGTTTTTTTTCTGCGTTGATATTACCGAAACTAGTAAAAAAATAAAAAATGAGAAATAATTTTAATCACTGTGAATATCAACAGTAATATGACCATAATATGAAAGAAATCGAAAAGATCTCATCAAAACCTATTGCCTTTTATCACTCGTAGCATTAAAATGTGATATTACGATTAGAATCCATGGAGCTATCTTTCACTTGATCTTTGAGATCTCAAAAGTAATTTATTCATCCGCTACAATTAATTAATACTCAGTGAGAAACAAAGCAATTGATTTGTCGACGACCTGATTGTAGTACTCATTTATATGTCAATGTCTCTTCAATATTTTCTTTATTATTGTTGTCATATCATTGTAAACTCATTTTAAAATACCTTAATGGAGCTGTAAGAACATTTTTGTTGAGAAATCAAGATTTTCTTTTTGAAATAGTTGAAGAATTCTACAAAACTGTCATTGAAAATAAAATAAACTTGTCAGTTTTGGAATGAAATATTGGCTACTATGTATTCAACTATTTTCTTATCTATTACGAACTATGAATGGGAGTTGATTAGGTATGGTTATGAATTTAGACGTTGCTGAATAACAGATTCCTACTTAAAACCTAAAGACCACTGTAAGATCATGTGTTACACGTGTTCTATGGCACCTTTTAAAATAAAACTTTCTACTGAAAAAACATTTCCTGTAAAATAAAACATAAAACAACTAAGCCCAACTATTTTATCAACTATCCCTGCAGCATATTTATGTTTTCTGATTATGGATGTGAGTGTGAGTGTCTGTCTTCTTTCACCCACATTCATCCTCAAGATTCGTAAGAATTAACATTTATGATATAAACAATTGGAAAAACTTGAAGAATAATACAATAGTTATATATATAAATAATTCCATGATGAAATTAGAATATATAAACTAGAACCAATTAAAACAATATTTCATTGATGAATCTCAAATCAAGCATTATTGTCATGGTAGCGGAGGATGGGGTGTGGGTGTGGGAATGCGTGAAAGAAGATATACACCGACACACCCTTATTACAAAGGCAATTCTTGGTTTAGCACAAACAATTAATTATCAATCTGCCTGGTAGTAGTAAAGCGTATATCAAATATAATTCTTTCTTGTATGACTCAAGTTGTCTTTCGTTCCGTTGAAGGGATGCTTAGATTTTATTTATTCAGTTCTACGACATGCAACATATTTGATTCAAATCGATATGCTGAAGTAGCTATGACATACTAATATGCAATCAAATGTTAGATAGTTGATTATAGTTGTCTACAATGTGAATAGTGAACGTTCAGATGCTGGATGAAAAAATGTGCATTAAAAGAATTAAATATGCAACATACTATTTACTTTCAATTTGGCATTATAGATGATACATGACTTTGATTTTTATTCCGTATCTTTCCAAACAGCTATTTCGAGAATTTATTCTAATAAAACATCGGTTATTCAAATATTACAATATATCATCATCCAATAATTCATGTACAGAAACATACGAAATTTTTTATTTGATCATTTAGTTTAATAAATTCATTGACTATCTTGATCCACGACCTGAATATATCCGTGTCATTATTATTGAATGGCCAACAAAATCTTTAATTCCAGTAGCACACATTGTTTCAACAGATATTCAATGTAGTTTACTCAGTGCTCGACGTTGTGAAAATTTTGATGATTATTGCCAACAAGTTGATTGATTTAACATCAGAAAAGTTCAAATGACATTTGTTCACCTCAGCACATGATTTCTTTTTCTGGTGATTATAAAAAGCTATGTTACGAGAAATTCACATTATCGTTCCTTCTTGTGAATGAGACATTGGGTCTGCTAACTTCATATATCAATGCACATCAACAGTTGAGTTTTTTGCCGCGTGAATGTTTCTATATCCAACATAATCTCTCACAATTGATCTTGATTTATAAATGAAATTATTGCTCTGGCAAGTCGATGTCGCGATCAACCTGCACATTTTATTCATCGTAACTTGTAGCGAGGGAAGTTGTCATAAGGTTCATTTTAGATATGTTGAATATTGTTCGCGTAGAGATGAATCGTGGAACTTGAATTTCGAGTCGAAGCTATCCTTGATAAACAGATAAGGAGAAAATCTATTTAATTTCTTCTAAAATGAAAAGTTTATTTCGATGTTGATAATACCATGGAAGATAAGTAATGTACTTACATTGTCTAGATTTAGTAAAATAATTTGAAGAAGATTTATCGAAAAACAAAACCTAATGAAAAATAACTAAAAGAAAAACAAAAATAGCTAAATTTCAGGGTAGTACTGAAAGTCAACTAATTCATTCAAATCCATATCGTGAGAATGACAGTGTACACGAAATGGTACATGTCATATAATTCAGCCTCTTCCATCTTAAATGATACTGAATAATCAAAACTTCACGAATAAAAGAAAATATTTTCTTTGATATTTTCAGTAATGAACATAATTGAAAAACATATTTTCAAAAAGTTTATCCATTAAAAAACATCAGATGTAAACCATAGATGATTAGTTAAACATAAATTAATTTTTCTACTGGTAATTTTGATTGAGCTGAAATTCAAAAAACAAAACAGAGGATAAAACAGAGAATAATGTGCAAACTAAAAACAATTGAAAATTGCCATTGTGATCGATTTCGATAGATAGACTTATTTTGATTCTTTCATTCTGCACAGATGCAGATGAAACACAAACGATCAATTAGTCGAGTATACGTCAATACGTTACCGTATGACATAATTGATTTATCTCAATCGATGATGATAACTACTAATTGTAACACTGTCACATTGTTGATCAATCATCCAAAGTACAATTGATAGCTAATATCAATTGTCTATTACAATTCACCAAAAAATGACTATAAATAGTTACAACTTTCAACGTAAAGTATCATTCCCCCTTTTCTTCTTCTTCTTCTTCTTCTTTTATTATAATATTATGTATATATATTTTATTTTTTAACTATTTTAGCTTGTTATTCTCACTGGCTATTGATCAACATCACGGGTAAGTATAGTTTTAGTTCTTTTAATTTTATTTTTTCGTTGTCTCAGCTTTTTACCCCATTTATTTTAATTTTTATATAATGATAATTGTTTTTCTATTATCTATTTTAGTGACACAAAAGAGTAAGTATAACTTTTTTGTATATATTGTATATATTTTACGTCCTACGGAGGCCTTCCATACATCGGCGTGAAACTGGCCAAGCCTACTTTGGTGCCCATAGCACGTACAGGCCGCATATAGATCTTCCTGTTGTATGTTCTATACACGCTAGATCTATGTCTGTACGTGAAGAGCCTCGGCTCTCTATGGCACCACCAAGGTAGTTCTTGGTCGCGCGAGCAACTATTAGCTGGTAAGCAAAAAAAAAAATTTTTCATTCCATTCAATTTATTTCTGCTTGTTTCGTTTTAGTTCCATTCAACAATTCAATTAAATTCAATTCAAATGTAAGTATAATTATTTTTTCATTTCTGTTGTTTTATTTTTATTGTAATTCTTTTTTTGATTTTTAAATAAACTTTATTCAAATAATTCAAATCTTTTTCTTATCACTTTACTTATCAATTATTTTATCTTATCAATAAATATTTTTATGTTAACAATAAATTATTTCAAAATAACTCAAATTTTATTTTACATTTGAATAATACAAAAATTTCTTTTCATTGAAATCATAAAATTTCATTTAAATAACACAAAATTTTATTTTCATTCAAATAATACGAAATTTATTTTCATTTAAATCATAAAATTTTCATTTACACAACACAAAATTTATTTTCATTCAAATAATACAAATTTTATTTTACATTCAAATAATACAAAATTTCATTTAAGTAATACAAATTTTCTTTTTCGTTTAAATAACACAAATTTTCGTTTAAACAACACAAAATTTTCTTTTCATTCAAATCATAAAACTTGTAAAAATAAGACAAATTTTATTTTACATTTCAGGAATAAAATATTTTCAAAGTAACAAAAAACTTATTCATATCAATAATAAATATTTTCAAAAACATACAAATTATATTTTCATTTGAATAACACAAAATTTTATTTTTTCATTTCAATCATAAATATTTTACGAAAAGAACAAATTTTCATTTAAATAATACAAATTTTCTTTTTCGTTTAAATAATACAAATTTTATTTTCATTTAAATAACACAAAATTTATTTTTCATTTGAGGAATAAAATATTTTCAAAAACATACAAAATTTTATTTTCATTGAAATCATAAAATTTTCATTTAGATTACACAAATTTTCATTTTATTTACACAATAAATAAATAACTGTTACTACTAAAATAATTTTCAATTTACTACTAAAATAAATTAATTTTACTAATAATTTTTTTTTTCATTTTACTAAAAAATTATTTTATTTTCTTAATAAATATTTTTATGAAAATAATTCAAAATTTTATTTTTTCATTTAAATCATACATATTTTCAAAAACACAATTTATTTTTTTCACTTTAATAATTAATATTTTATTGAGAAAAATAATTTCTATTTAATTCATTTCTTTTCATTTAACAAATAAATAAATAAACGAAGAAGAAGAAAAGAAACATATGACGTAATTTTATATTTTTTTCTTTTCTTTGAAGCGAAAGAGTAAAAGAAAATTTATTTTTTTTGTTCATTTATTTCAATGTATAGAAAAAGAAACGAACAAAGAAAAAACAATTCACAAGTCTTATTCGATAGAAAATCGTTGAACACGATGATTACACTGATCGGTGACATAGAGATTACCTTGTCGATCGAAAGACAAACCACGGAGGTACTGGAACTGATTTGCTCCTGCTCCATAGCCATTTCCACCCACAATCACAGTGCCCTGTTTCTTGTATCCTTGAGTCCAACGCATGACACGATGATTCCCCCGGTCTGCTACATAGAGTGTACCCAACGTATCAACGAAGATTCCATAAGGATAATACAATTGCGTCAGAGAATCTCCTGCGCCTTGTCCTCCAGCAACCACAATACCTTCTTTTGCACCTTCCACCCATTTCATTACACGATGATTGTCGTTGTCTGATACGTACACTGAATGATCTCGATCGACAAAGAGAAATGTCGGGTATTTGAGTTGATTGAGACCATCACCTGTACCATTACCGCCAGCTACGAGAGTGCCATTCTTATCACCCAATTGATATCGTCTTACTTCATCTTTTCCGATGTCAGAGACGTAGAGATATCTCTGATCATCCATAGCTAATCCCCAACAGCCGATGTTGTTGATGAGTATTCCACCTTGTGTTGTATCACTACGACGAGACCATCGTACAACTCGTCGATTGTCTCGATCACAAATAATGAGACTATCCGTCTCTTTGTCAATTAATACATCACTTGGATGATTCAATTGATGTAATCCATTTCCTTCCCCTTTACCACCAGCAACAACTTGTCCATTCGTTCTAACACCGCTCTTCCATTGCATGATACGATGATTGTACGTGTCAGCAATAACCACTGTTTGATCATCATCAACGAAGAGACCAAAAGGCCATTCGAGTTGATTAGTGGCATCCCCATTCCCGTTACCTCCAGCAATAGTCACTCCGTTCTGTTTCCATTTAGCATTAGCAGGAATATTAACTAGAAGAGAAAACATATAAGAGAGATCTTTCTCTCTCTCGAAAGTATCGAGTAAAATTCTTTTGAATAGATCATTCTTTCT